TGTGTGTGTGTGTGTGTAGAAGCCATTTTTGAATAAGATCAGTCTGCTCATGACTAGCATGCATGTCCTATCAGCATGCTTCTGCACTCTCCCATCCTACCCCTGTAATGTAAGTTCAGCCTGTCCCATATGTTAATAAACTGTTTCTTATAAACAGTTTTATTTATTCTGGAGCATTATATACTCCAGAACTGTCTCCAAAAGAAACTCTGTGCAAAAGGCCACCCTGAATTGCCCACTGCTTGAGAAAGTGGGTTGGTTTTAAAAAATTTGCTATGAAGATGGGCTAACTAAGACACAGTCTCTCAAGTTGGATGTACCCATGATATTAAAGGCTTGCACAATTCTAATTCTGTATTTTGATTAGGGACAAGGAGAAGATGAGAGGAAAACAGTGCAGTCTCTGAAACACTGGTCCCAGTGATTGATCTCCTCTGGGACACCACGCTCTGCTCTGCATGATCAATGACTCTGTCAAAATGTGTGCATTATGCCACTAAAATATTGGAAATAAAAATCTGGTTGATTTACAGAGCCAGAGATGAGGAAAAGTTTGTTGAATTTTATTAGCAGGAGAGGCTATTATTGCAGCAGCAGCTCCCCCATGTGGGAATAGAACCAGACCCAGGAGGGGAGGGAAGTAGAAACAGAAACCACCAGAGGCTTCTTGCTTCAAGAGCTCTGTGTTTCTCTGGCCTTGCTGTTCATTTGACCCCACTGGAAAGCACCCTCCCTCCTGTTCTACCTCACAGGATTGTTGTTGTGGGGATAAGATGGAGGAGGAGAATGATGTAACCTGCCTTGAGCCCTTTGTAGGAAAAAGGCAGGATATAAATCGAAAAATAAATAAAATGTCTCACGTTCTCCGAGCAACAGCCATGGTGGGGAGGGAAAGACTGGGAAGACCATTCATGGAAGATCCTGGACCAAGGCATATGGGGCTGGGTCTCAAGGCTGGTGGTTTTGGGGAAGGCAAATGCCTCATGAGGATTCTCTTTCCTGGTACTGAATGGGTAGGAGCTTCCCTGCACTGCTAGCCTTACACTGTAAGTTTGAATCCTGGGCTCTCCTCCTCCTTTGCCTCTGATGTGAATGTTGCTGGCTCAGCATACAAAATGGGAGTGAGCCCATTTTCTCCCATTCCCCCACAGGGGGTGATGCTTCCACTTCCCAGCACTGTGCCCAGATTGCTGAGCTACCAGAATTGGTGTGTGGCTTGCATTTCTTGTTGCCTTTCTTATGGTCAAGAGTATTTTCCCCTCACTTTGAGGACAAATGCCCATGCCAAACTATAACTTTGTAGCCTACTGCTATTTAAATATATATATAAAGTGGGGTGTATGGAAAGCACCATTTCCCATAGAATCCTCAGGGGGTTTTGTGGGGTGTTCTTGTGGGTCTATCCCAAGTGTGGATAGCACAGACACGCTTTCTTTAAATGGCAGGGTGTGACCAGTGCCACATGGCTTACTGCAACTCAGGGGACACCTTAGCACGCCTGCAGTGACCCTGGGATCCTGAAGGCAGACTGTGGGGGGAGAGTAGGAAGGATGAGGCCCAGAACCCCTGCTGTGCCTGATCATCTGTCAGTCATGGAGGAAATTCAACCACGATGCATGGTTAAAATTCCCCAGAGGGCTAATCTGTTGCATGAACCCAGCCATTAGTTATTCCTTGGTTGTTCTGGGCAGCTCCCTGATATATTGGAGCATCAAGCTGATGAGTTCTCAGTTCAGTGTAACAGGGAGTCAGTCACAGCAAGACATCCAGGTTGCTTCAACACTGATTGCGTCAACTGAGTGACTCCTCAGTCACGGTTGCTGCCCCTTCCCTTTCTGACTGGTGATTGATGAGCGCCAGCAGTGTTGTCATGGATGCTGAAGGTGCAGCTGTCCTTTTCACTCCATGTTCCATCCCCACCTCTTCTTGGATAGAAGAGTTGGTGGTGGTTGTACAGTGTTTACAAGTATCTTCTGAAATGGCCTCCTGCTCTGTCCATTGCTTGTTTGGAAGAGTGAGGTCTTACTAGGCTTGCTTCGCTGTGCACGTCATGCTCACTTAAACATGGCTTGATGCATCATGCTTAATTGACAATGAGAAAAAAGGGGAATGCTGATCATTTTTCTCAGATGTGCCAATTTATAATAATGACTGCTTTCTTTTGCAGAGTAGACTTCCATAACTCCCAGTGTTTTAGAGACATACAGGCCAAGGTTCCATTAGGATAGCAATTGCATCAGGTAATTTGAAGCAACCCTTCTTCTTGAAACAGATACAGTATAAACAGAGACTGACCCTTCCTTGGTGAGGAAGAAATGCTGAAGGATCATGGGAACTGTCTTTTGGTTATCTACCACCTGAAACTACATCTCACGGTGCCAAAAACTTGAGTTAGCCAAGAGAAACCTGGTCAGGCATGCCCATGGCATGTCCATGGCAAGATGCAAGTATTCCCATTGTTGGTCGATAGCCAGAACTTCTGGAGGCTTCTACATGAGGATAGCTGGGAACTTGGTCTAACTGAACATCAAAATTGCTAAACTTGATTCCTCTTTCAAGCCGTACTACAACTGTGGGTAACTTCTGTTTCTTTGTTACGTCTAACGGATAGGTTCAAAAATATTTACTATTGTGAGCAGTGTAGTTTGGTTGTGTGGCTTCATAGTTTTGGAACTGCAAGTTGAATTTATGCTCCATTGAGTCATTAGGTGCATTCCTGTCTTTCATCCTGAGAGGAGATCTGTCATGTGGGGTAATTCCTTGGGCAGATAACTGCCTATCAGAGACAGAAGTGTTAAGAGTAACAGTTGTGCCAGCACAGTGGTGCTATATTGACCTCCAATATGCTTTATGCACAGAATTGCTCAGTTGTTTTTCATCCTATTTCATTTTCTTTCCTCTGTCTGTTTGTGAATAAACAAATGTGACAAAAATGGTAGTGGTTGCAAAGTTGTCTTCTCAAGAACTTTGAAGGTGAACAGAAGATCTTGAGAATCTGAATTTACTCCAGCCTATGAGGATGAGAGAAAGAGGGGAAGCTTGGATCATCTCCCACTTCCCTGAAATTTGTTCAGCTTGCAAGAAACCCTTCTTTACTTTTCATAAAGTAATGGGGCATTGGTGATTAAAAATTATATATACATGTACATACAGATACTGTAACAGGTGAGTTACATCATTTTCACTGCCAAACCTTCATATATGTGACCCTTCACCTCATCCCATTCCACAGAGCCTACCCTGTTCCCTTCCCTTTGAACTTGAAGGGCTAGTTTAGGTCTTCCCCAGTATGGTATCCTCCAGATGGGTTGAACTACATTTCCCATAACTCTCAGCAATCATGCCTGAGTCTGCTGGCAGAAAATGAAGAGAGTTTTAGTCTGACACATCTTAAGGGTGACAGTCTGGGGAGATCTGTGCTAGTGTGTACTTAGTCCACACTTGCATTTTGTTGACTGCATGATTAAGGGTGCAATCTTATGCAAGCTTAGGCAGAAAAGAAGTCATGCAGCACCCACTTGCTTCAGCCAGGATTGGGAAGCTGGGGCATGAGTTGTGAAACTTTTAAAAATGTCTTAGCATGCATTGGACTGCACCCTAAACTGATTTGAATTCAGATATGTGCTCTGAATCTGATTGTGAAGGGGGCTGGTGACCTGCTGTTAATCATCTCTGCACTGGGAAAATTTCCTCTCCTGTTTTGGCCGATGTAGCTGTAGAATACTCTGAAACCAAGGAGGCAGCAATCGCAGGGGAAGTGTTCGACCACACAACAGTTTCATGGGCTCCCCCTCACTTATAAATGCATGCCACCCCATGAATCGGCCTCATCCAGAGAGTTTGTACGCCAGTGTCACAGTGATCACTAGCATCTAACTCTACACACAAATGGACTCATGCTAGCTAATATAGGTATTGTACCTGCATTTCAGATGCAGGAAATGTCAAAATCCATTCAGGTATTGTTTGTGGACATTGCCAGCAATTTGAATGTTAGACCTACACTGTCTGGAAAAATCATCTTCTTTACCACTTTAACAATTTCAAGCTAACCTAACCCTACCTCCCCAAGGGAAGGTATTTTAACCCTGTAACTCAAACACATGGATTAAAAAAATAATCCTACATTGTCTTTGAGCCTCTCTTTCCTATTTAGCTGAACATCTGACTATTGCTAAAGGGAATGTACATTTGTAACACAAAAGTAATGGTATCATAAAAAAAAGAAAAAATCCATATTAATATAACAATATCCTTATTATGCCAACCAAAATAGCACAAAAAGGCACAAGATTTAGAGTCTGTCTGATCTCTTCCTATTACAAAGAGGAGGTTGGAAGTGAGGAGGAAGAGGGCAAATGAGAAAACCTGCTGTGACCAAAGTCACAGTGTGTGAAATGCATGATTTTTTTCAAGGGCTGCCCTCACTAGAAGAGTGGATAGCTGTTTGTGTCAAGTTTCACATTTGTGTCTGTAATTCAGATGTATGGTTTTTTTCCATGCAAAACTGTGTACAAAACACTGTTTCCCTACAAACATTTTATTTAGGTATAAATAAATCTGGGTGGATAAGAATTGATTACACACACATACGTACATCCCACCAAATTTTTTAAAAATGTATCTGATATATTAAAAATACTAAATTGCTCATTTAGCAAAGCAGTGCACGTAGGACATGCATGCAAAGGAATCCCTAAAAGTCATTTGTTGAGAATACATGAAAGATGCCAGTGCAGGGCAGCAAGCAAGAAACATGGCTCTGCAAGGCGGTCTCCTAGAACGGTCTGAAATGGGACTGAAGTCAAGCAAGCCTGGGACAGATCTGTGCCTGGGTGGAAGGACCCGAGCGAACTTACTACACGCCGCTTCTCAGGCGCGTGGAGGCTTGCCGGCCCTGGCGCTCCGCTCGCCTCCTCCGTCGTACCCAGGGTCGCCCGCAGGGGGCTCTGGGTCAACGCTTCCCGCTCGAGTCCCCAGCAGGCCGAGCGGTGCGGGGTGGAGCCGGCTCCGAGCGTGGCAAGGAAGGCAAGCCAGGAAGCAGGCAGCGCGGTGCGGGAAGCGGCGCCGAGCCGGTGAACCATGCAGGTACGCGAAAGCTGCGCCGCGATCGCGGTCTCCGCGCGATTGAGCATCATCCGATGGGGCAAATGGCAGGAAGGCGGAGGACCTCTTGGGAAGGGGCCGCGTCCTCGGCTGGGGAGCTTTGGCTTGCGCGCCCCTCCTAGCCAGCTGAGCCTTCGGTGGGGCGGAAGCTTCCCAGCGTGACTCGGTTCTCTTCCCTTCCCAGGCGAGCTCCAAGCAGGCGGTGCAGGCGGCGGCGCAGGAGCTGCTGAAGTTTGTGACGCGGAGCCCCTCCCCTTTTCATGGTAAGGCGGAGGAGACGGTCGGGATTCTGGGGCTTTCGTCCCCGGAACGTAGTTCTGCTCCTGTCACAGCACTACGGAGGGCAGGCCTCCCTGAAGCTGCGCTGGGCATGGGCACTCCTGTGCACTGAACCGTGGCTTTGCCACACGTGGCACTCAAAGTACATTTTTGTATTCTGCAACCTTTTGTCCTTCTTTGCATTTATCTCTTATGGGATTGAAGATGGCACGCATGCCTCCTATCCAACAGTGGCCGGAGCTGATCCTTTAAGCAAGGATGTAGAGTGCTGTGGCTTCACACAATGCATATATACTGGGGCTCTTTCAAAATTTCCCTCTAGGAACATTTCAATTCAAAGTGAATAAAAATAGGTTGTTTTAAAACAATAAGAATAAAAAGGTTTTTTTAATCAAAAGGTTGCATCAGGTTATTTTGAATGGCAAAAAATAGTAACTTAAATTTCTTATTTAAACAAACTGAACATTTATTAAATGAGAATATTTGCACTCAATTCAAACATGGGCCTTTCACCTGATGAAAAGACATGTAAGCCCAGCTTAGAAGAAACAGTTAAAATAATACTGTATTTAATTGTAAATTAATCTGTTTATTGGTCCAATTTGGTTTATTGGTTCAGAAAATATATCAAAAGATTTCAGTGGGAAACTTAGTTTAAAATCACGTTTTTCTTGCTAATTTATTTAAATTGGTGCTTTAAATTGCTTTGATTACTAAATTTAAATCACTCCACCCTGCTTCAGATCGTATCTTGGAACTCTTTATACCCTTTCCTCCTACACACACTTTAATTAAAATCTAAACTCTGTATTGGTTGCATTATACACTTCATTTTTTAAAACTGCTCTTTTTTACTTATCCTGCATTGTCAGTCCTCACACATGCATATACGATAGTGCAAGAAAAAATGAATGGTGTTTTTTACAGTTTGACCATATGTTTGCTTGGAAATAAGTGCAGCTAAAGGTACTTCCATGTTTGACTTTTTCACCAGCATTGACACTACTGTTCACTTTATTTATTCCTGCTGATCCAGACACTATTCTTCCCAAATCATCTGTCTTTTGCCCACAGTTGTCTCATTTTGCTGCTGAAATGTATCAGCTTTTAACATGTCAATTCCTCACTTCAGTAACAGAATAGGTAATTATGCTAACTGGCCTTTTGTTGAACTGATCAGTACTGAAAGACTTTAGGGTTCCTCCTCTTCCCCGCTTTTCTACTCCCAGCTTCCTGAGCTTTCATAGTTTTCTGCAGACCTTTTTTTCCCTTATCTGCAAGACAATGTGAACATAATGTACTATCTGGATCCTTGATTTCAGCTTAGTTACCCTCATGGAGGCTCAAAGAAGTTTTCCCTGATTTAGGGTGCTCATTAGTGCAATTTTTACTAGACTTAAAAGGAGAGGGTGGCTTATCTGTCCTCTTCTCCTTGTACCTTTGCCTCCACCCTCAATAAATGTTTGCCTTCATTCGACAGTAGCATTTGACAGACTCTTCTCATGATGACACGTTCTGGTAACACTAAGTTTTCTCAGCCACCTGACCAAAATCCCATCTCTTGCTGATTCTCTTTCATGACTGTTTTTCCTCCCCTTTTGTTCCTAGAGATCTCAGAGACATAGGGAGACACTGCTGTATCAACCTATATGCATTTTGTTTTACTCTCTAGAAGTGTAATTTCCTTTCTGTGTTTAAGTGTTGCTGATTCTTGTGCTCTTGTGTTTTTATTTACTTAACTTTGCATTTTTGTCCTGTCACAAGAGAAGCAGACCTTGGGGAAAAAACACAGTTGCTCCTATTGGCCAAAGCAAGATAAATATGAAATAAGCATTTTGTGTGTAGATTACAGTCTCCTTTGCACCAAATGCTTACCCTTATTGACAGGATAGTAACCCTGTTTTATGGCACAACAGCCCATGGTTTATTGTTGGGTTACGAGTCTGGGTTGTTCCTCCACCAGCAACCAACCGTGCCAGGTTCAAACATCACACAGAGCATCCCTGGGTTGTTTTTCTCAGCAGGAGCAGCTTGGCATTCAGGAGCCAACTCACTCACTCCTGCTCATTCACAGCTATCCAGGGTTTGTTTAAACTTAAGAGATTTGATGGTAAACTAGGTTGTTGTGTTAGGTGATCAGTGAGTTAGAAAACATGCCTTTTTTTGGGTAACTTTTCACACTTAATCTTGTATTAGGGCACTGAGATCTCACAGGGGAAAATTCTAGAGGAAGAGCTTTGGGTCAAAGGGAAATGCTTGAATGAGCACTTTAATAACTTTAGGAATCTTAAGTTAGAGGTTGTATTTTGTGTGTATTTGTTGAGGGGGTTATCTGTGTAACTCCTTTGTTTGTCTGGCCTCTCCCTCCATCAAGGGGTTGCCTTACTTTCCTTAATCTTATTTGACCAGTGTTTGCCTGGACATTGGACTCAAAGTACTGTGAGCAGAAATGAGTTGTCAAAGCCTCAATGTACCAACTGCAGAGGCAGCAGATAATCTTAACTATGCCTGGGCCCGTCTGGCAGCAAGAATGGCCTCTTTGCAGAAGTTGGGCGACAGTGGTCTTGGGCCTGAGTTTGTGCTTGATGCTAGTCTTAAAGCAGGGGTGTTGAATCTCAGGCCTGAAAAACAGATCTGGCCTACATGGGGCTCCGGTCCAGCCTAGATAGTCATAGCTCTTTTCCCCTGACTGCTGATCACGGGGAGATTTCCCATCTTTTGTGTATTTTCTTCCCATTCTAAAAGGTGGAGATCTCATTCCTGAGGCTTAGTTACCAACAGTAAGAGCGTTTTGCTGGTATTTTTGGTGCTGGTCCCTTTGCCCTTTCCCTTGCTGGAATGCAGTCCCTGGGAGCTTCTTTGAAATTGGATTTGGCCCTCGACTCAAAGCAGTTCCTCACCCCTGTCCTTGGATAACCAAGACGGGATGGTGATGATATGCTGGGACACATCAGTCAGTCCAAGAATGCTGATAACCAGGTGAGTACAAGTGGTCCTGTGTTGTCCTGATTTTCCCTGATTTTCCAGGACCTACCCACCCACAGCACCTGTGTGTAAAACAGGAGCTTATACTGGGAGTGCCATACCTCCTACACCGGGCACCTAGATGGTTCTTTGGAGCCTTTTGTGTTCCCTGCAGTTTATGTTGTCTCAGCGGCAGGCATCCATGACCCTTTCACGACTGCCTGCATTCTTCCCTCCCATAGTGGTGGCTGAGTGTCGGAGCCGCCTGCTTCAGGCTGGCTTCCAGGAGCTGAAGGAAACAGAACACTGGGATATTCAGCCTGACCGGAAGGTGAGGAAAGGGCCTGGAACACCATTATGGGCGCTCTTCTCCTCTGTATAACTCATCTGCCGTTCTGATGGGAGTGGAGGGTGATGAGTGGAGCCCCTTGCCAGACATGGCACTTGAGCAAATGGGCAAAACATGACACCCTTCCTTCTCTGCTCTTTCCACACTAGTATTTTGTGACCAGAAACTACACCACTTTGGTTGCCTTTGCTGTGGGGGCCCAGTTCCAGCCAGGCAATGGCTTTAGTGTGATTGGAGCCCACACGGACAGTCCCTGTCTGCGGGTAAGCAGTTACCCCATTCTTGTTTAGTACTACCTAGTGTGTTCCTTTGTGCTCTTGGCTGCATTTCCTTTCTGCTTCCCTCTCCCCAACTGCATGGACTTCCCATGAACATGGCTATATAGTCCCAATATGCTTTCAGTTGCTTTCCCTGCCTGTGCAAGACTACAGTGGGTTTGCGTCTCCCTCCTCTGGCAATGGTTATGAGGGCTCCTGCTGGAGCAGTGACAGCATCCGTTTTTTTCAGATCTCCTTCACTCACTCTCTGAAAACAAAGAAACACCAGTTATATTTATTGGCTTTTTTTAAAGATAGGAGGTGAATGGGTAGTATCCAGTGCTGGCATTTACTAGTGCTAATCATGTTGCACTACCGGAAACAAGTGCTAGTGCAACAGAAAGAGTAAGGCGTAAAGCAGGTGCTGTGAAAAGTTGGTGCCTCACTCACAGCAAAGCACTGCCCTTCCTGACACTCCTGCGAGCATTCTGAGGAAGGCGGCCTTGGAGACTGCCTGCACGGCCAAAGCACAGGTGGCCTCTAAAGCTACCTCTCGTCAAATGCTTCCCTCTGAGGAAAGACCAGTCTGAGCAAGGCACTGAGTGGGAGGGAGGAGGTAGTGGCTATGCAGCATAGAAAAGGAGGGTGGTGGAGGAGGAAGGAGGTCTTTCACCAAGTTTGGTGTTTGCTTAGCACTCTGTCATCAGCCCTGGTGGAATGCCGGTGCTGGATCCTCCCCAGTAAGTACAACTGATTCATGGGAACAAAGACGCAGGAAAAGCAAAACAGCCTAGGTGAATAACCCAGTGTGTAGGTATGTAGTTGTAGTGTGTACACACTACACACAAATCCAAGGCCATCTTCCTCTCTGTGGCTATAGAGCACTTCTTGCTGTTGCTTTTCTTCACACTTTCCTTAGATTGTGAAGCTATCTGTGTGTGGCGATGCTGGATGAGTGTGCTTTTGTGTCACCTAGGTGAAGCGCTGCTCTAAGCGTGTCCAGGAGGGCTCAGTCCAGGTGGCTGTGGAGACCTATGGGGGTGGCATCTGGAACACCTGGTTTGACCGTGACCTCTCTGTTGCTGGAAGAGTCATTATCAAGGTCAGTCCTGCCTGAAGTCCTGGTCTGTGGGCCTGTGTGATTCTTGAACTTGTACAGGTGAAGAAGACTGAAGACTCATCTCATCCTACATCCAGTGTATGTCCCATTGGTATGCTGCCTGAGCAGTGTGGGAGCCACTCACACCAGAAATGAGCAGCGTGCGGTTCTGAACCCTAGCTGGTTTAGAAGAGGGTAGGGGGTGATGGGAATTGTTGGCCAAAGCCTCTGGAGGATTACAAGTTGTCCACTCCTGGGCTAGCATGTGGCATCTTTCAGGGCTACCCCAGTGACGTAAGAGCACTGGGGTCACCTGGGAAAAGGTGATTCAGCAGCTCTTCCCTCTCCACCACTTGTCGCCTTGGGACAAGTATAGGAAGTAGCTTCAGTCTCAGGCTCTCCTGGGACAGTGTGGGAACAGATTTTGCATAACTCCTTGCCAAGCTGTTTCCATCTGTTTTGTGCATGTGTTGCTATGTATACTGTCAAACTGAAAATGTGAGTTGACCGTCTTGTTTCTGAAGCTGTCAGTTGAATTCTAACGTGAATAGATACATTCTAAAACTATTTATTGAAATGAAGTTTTTCTTCTATGAAGCAATCATGCTACATGCTATATTTTGATTGAGAGAGCTATAACAGTGGTGCTGATAGTGAATATGCTTCACAGGGGACAGAGTCCATAAAAACGTTATTAAACATCAGCGCTATTAAATCTGCTGTCTAATGAATTACCCGATCAGTGCTTTCGGCTCCAGTAAACAGAAGTGCGCTCTGAGGACCTGGTTGCCTAGCTACATTTGAGTAGCTATTGGAGTCTAGTTTGATGTGTAGTGGAGTGTTTTGGCCCTTAAATGTCCATGATGCAAACCCCAAACTTTTAAATACTGTTCAAGTAGAGCATAAACTGAGCGACTGAGAAATGACAGTTCTTCTGAATCCAGGACCTTTGAATTTAGTTATTTTCTACAATGCTTCAGCTGCACAGAGAAAACCCTATTGAACAAAGTGCAACTTACATCTGTGTAAACAGGCAGGGGATCACCCTGTTGGGTTTGCTGAATTCCCTTTAGGATCTTAAATGCAGCTTGGTGATCTGAGTAACTCATGGTGGAGATGGGGAGGAAAGATGGGCAGCATTTGATGATTACTCTTTACTAAGAAATACTCTTAGAGGTCTTCTAATGTTCTTTCATTGAGCAGTGAAAATTACTTCTGGTGCCATGTTTGCTGGCCACTTTAGAATATGTAAAGATGAGACCAAACTAGAAGTGTGGGCGTAACTTCCTGAAATATTTTTTTTCCTTTATTTTATCTTGATTGCTATTCTGAAGTTATATCAAGATAGGAATCAAATCCAGAGAAATTTCTCTCTTTGTGTTTTCCCTTTATAAATAACCTGTAGTTCAGATTGTTTGCTTTCCTTTGATTTGAACTTATGATTGTGAATGCTTGTTAGTTTTTAAAAATGTATGTTCTAAAAATAAATTCCACATTCCTGTAGGTGGATTAGCAACTTTTTGTGGACTTTTTTGCAAAGCTGCTGTGAGTGCAAAATACATCTAAATTTACTGAAAGCAGAACACACCACCAAAGGAATCTTGCACATGCCCAAGGTGTCCTATGGGTAAAAATTAAGGATTGAGAAGGGTGTGTATTTTATAAGATCACTTACCATTGCAAGACAACACACAAATGTATCTTGTAATGATGAGTATTTTTATAAAATGGGTGTGCAAAAGGTAGACCACAAGTTATTTTGTACCATTGGCTTATGCTGGCAGGGCCTTTTGGGAGTTGACATTCAAAACATCTGGAGATCCACTTCTTTTCACCCCTGGTATAAAACATTGTTGATTTAGGCCAGCTGTTCCCAACTAATGACTGTGCTAATGTGGGGACAATGGCTGTAGTTCAGCACAGTTGGAAGGTACCGAACTGGGAAAGTTTTATTTAGGCTAAGGTTAAGTTTTGTTTCTGTTCTTATCACTCGAGATTCAGGACTTCTGCTTCCCAAAAGGGGCGGACTCTCATATCACACCTGACTGACCGCTCTGTGCACTCAGTCTTGGGTCACTTTCATTGCAATAGAACAGGGAGTGGCTGCTTTCCATCTTATCCCAGCCACAGCTAAGAGATTGTGTTTGTTTTCTTCAGATTTGTTTTTTCCTCCTAAGCTGACCCTTCTACTTCAAGTCCCAGGACTTGGTCCCCCTCACCTCAGGGTGAGCAGATTGCTCATTCTGCTTTGGAAAACTCTCCCGGTGTCAGTGCTACATTACAGCTTTTACCGCTCAGATTTTGAACTTGGGACCTGTGCAGTTGCTGGATGAAGGTTATACTTCACAAGAGGAAGAGCTTTCCTTGCTGCGGTTTAAAACCATGTAGTTCAACATAGCCAAACTAAATGCACCCCGGGGATTAACTGGGTACTCTCTGGCCTGTAAGCCTAGTTTGGTGATGTCCTAGACAAATTGTGTTATTCCTCTTATGTGGAAGGGGAGAGAGAAGATAGGGGAGTAACAGACAGGTTAATTTTACCTGTTTCTGCTTACAAAGTCATTACAGCTAATTATGAAATCTCGTGCGTCAGCACTTGCAGGCAAACAGAAATTGCTTGTAGCTAGCAGGAGTTTATTACACACAGCTTGTTTCTGAGAAGAGATGCAAGCTTCAGTAGCTAGGACAGACTTCCTTCAAGTTCAGCTTTTGTTTGTTTTTAAAAATCCTGATCCTCTTGTTCCAATAAATCTTGAAAATATATTGAGAGTTTCTGCCAAAATATGATAAATCAAAGCATCTGATGTTCAGGCGCCCATAGGACATAGAATTGTGGGTATCTGTACAAAGCATGACTCACTCAGAGGCTTTGAAAAAGCAACAAATAGTTTTGTGGAATCATAAATATCAACCCTTTTATTCTGGCATAAGATTTTTTGGGCATTGTCTGCATCACCTGATGGATCTGTTGAATTGGACAGCAACCATGAGACCTAATGCCCATATTAATGTTTGCTGAAACACACTAAAGTGACAATCCTTTTGCAAAGAATGAAAGTTTGTGAGTTATTACTATATTGCATTTAGAGTACCCCCTTTGTTCCTCTTGTGAGGAACCCAAGGCAGCTTACGCAGGCCTCTTGCACCCCATTTTATCTTCACAACAGCAACCCTGTGAGGTAGCTTGTACTGAGACTGAGTGGCTGGCCCAAAGTCACCCAGTAACCTTCATGGCCAAGTAGGGAGTTGAATCTGGATCTCCTGGGTCCCCAGTCCAGCAGCCTGCTGGTTCTTAAGTTGATGTGACCATAGCATTCACTGATTTTTAAAAAAATCATCTCTGAAAAGAGACACTCAAGTTTGGGAAATGTGTGTGCAATATACAAAATCTGGATCAAATCTTCTGACTTATAAGAAAAGAATAGAATATGAGTGGTGCAGGGAATGCTCTCATTTTGATCCAAGGTATTAGAGGAAGAGATTATTAAACTCTTTCATCCAATCTCAGCAGGGTTAATACTGGAGAAACTGGGTGGCAGGGAGTTAACATCAGCCTCTTTCCTCCCCAGCCCTGGTTCACTAGTACCACTACCGTGCCCAACAAAACCAGAACTCCCCTCCCTTGGGTTGCTTTAAAGGTGGGAGATCTGTCTGTTCTGGTCCTCAGAAGGGCTTTTTCTTTGACAGCCACTTCTGCTGAATTGTTCGCCTGACCTTTTCAGCTATGTTATCTTTTCCACCCACCTCCATTCATACAGACCTTGGCCACAGATGAATATGACTTCCAATGAAAGAGCTTCCACTGACTGCTCTAACAGCTCTTGCATTTCTGATTCCAGGACTTGGCCACAGGACGGCTGGAGCAGCAGCTGATGAGGGTGGAGCGCCCCATTCTCCGCATCCCACACCTGGCCATTCACCTCCAGCGCAATATCAATGAAAGCTTTGGGCCAAACACCGAGCACCACCTGTGAGAGTGTAACCTGTCTGCATCTGCTTTGCCCTCTTTGGAAGGCTCCGGTGCCAGCCCAGCTCTCCTGGCTGGCCCTGGGCAGTGCTTTCGATTAACCATTGCTGGTCTGCCTACTTGCCTTCCATTGCGGGAATCTACCCCAGGGAGCAATTCAGAGCATGATAATACAATATAAAAGTTCTCAGTTCAGTTTTATTGCTTCTAACCCTGGGCTATTACAATATAACAAAAAGAAAATGCCCCACATATTACAGAAGTAAAAACAAGCAAATTAAATCTAGATAAAAGAACATGACCGATGCTTCTGGACTGACAAAATAAAATTAAGGTCAAAAGTTCTCTAGTACTGATTTCCAAGTTTTAGGGAAAGTCAAAGGCAGAAGAAGAGGAAGACCAAATGCCAGGTAGATCAGTCTCATAAAAGAAGCCGCCGCCTTGAATTTACAGTGGCTGCACAGGGATTCTACAAGAAGAGACAATTTGGAGGGCTCTCATTTATAGGGTCACTATAAGTTGAAGGTTACTTCATGAGACATAGCAACAAGGAAATCAATTGAGAATATACCTGGCTTAAAATTAAGCATTATACAATGACTTTTATCTAATAGAGCCTAATAAATTTGCCTTGCAATGATATAAGAAGAACTACGCTGGAGGGGTGGGGGTGGGGGGAATTATAGTCCCTCACATCTGGGAAGTACCCAGCTGAAGAAGACTGCGATGGGCTTCCCAAACTGCACAGGGGCAGGGATTTCCTATACATCTCCTCCTCCATCTCTTTACTTTGAGGTGAGTGCAACACGTAAGTGGCCTGCTCAAAACCCAACCTGCCTGCTTTTCGCAGGGTCCCAATTCTGGCCTCAGAAGCCCAGGAGGCACTGGAGAAGGAAGTTTCCATGACTGACAGTGCCTGTGCCTCGTCTTTTCAGGTAAATTGGAAAATGGAGAGGGAGGGTGGAAATGAAGATGCAGAGACGTAGCTGGATGACTCTTTTGGCCTAGAACTCCCATGAGCCCTAGCCAGAATAGTTAATGATGAGGGATGATGGGAGTTGTAGGCCAAAATATCTGGAGGGTTGCAAGCACCCACTTTGTTCTAAGTTATGAGGGAGAGTCTGCATTTTTCCAGGGCACACCATGTCTTTGGCCTGTTCACATCTGACAATGTCATTCCTAGCAGAATCGCCACTCTCCAGTCCTGGTGTCCCTTATCTGCTCCCAGCTGGAGGTGAAACCTGAGCAGGTGGTAGAAATGGAGCTGTGTCTGGTGGATACGCAGCCTCCGGTAAGTGACCCAGTTTTGCTTCAATTTGGGCAGAAAACGGTGGCCTCCAGGGCTTATTTTTGGGCTGGGCTGGGTTGCAGATGAAATCATTTCCTTGTTCTGTACAACTTAACCTTGGTCATCTTTGGCTGCAAGGCAGTATAGAAGTGCTTTTAATAAATATATAAATGAGATCCTAAGAGAGAGAGAGAGAGAGAGAGAGATGCTTATTCCAGCTACCTCTTCTGCTCCTTGGAGATAAACCTTGTTATAATCTTCCAGCCTGTCTGGAAACCTGCAGCCACACTATGAGGGCGTGAGGGACAGCTGAACAGATAGACATTGGGAAGAGATTGGTAAAGACCAGAGTGAACCTATGTTATTTTCTCCCTCCCTGTGGTTCTTCTTCTAGGCACTAGGTGGCGCCTTCAATGAATTTATATTCTCCCCTCGCCTGGACAACCTCCACAGCTGCTTTTGTGCCCTGCAGGTGCGTTTGGGGCGGCTGGTGGGAGGCTACAGTGCAATTGTGTTTCTTTGCCCCCTTCTGCTTCCCTGAGTGTTACGACAAGCTTTCTCCCCCAAAACAGCAGTCCTCTCTCATAATTACTTCGAAGCTGCTTCATCGTCTGCCATTTTGCGAAGCAATGAAGACATCGGTTTCAGCCACAAAAGTTGGGGTGATTAGTTTTACAAGCTGAAACTATCCCTTATACTAGCAAGAATGGGTATATACAGAACCATAGGCTCCCAAGACTTTGAAAGGGCGCAAGGAGAGAAATACTGTACAAACCAGAAATTGCTTGTACAAATCACAGTTTTGGCAGTTTGAATGAAATGGCAAACTGTGTTTTGTGTGGAGGTGGAAGTCGGCTGGTCAAAATGCTTTGTCGGGGGAGCAGGGGTGGGAAGGAGAGGAAGTACATGCAAGTTCAGTGCTTGTTTAAATGACACCAAAGTCGGATTTGGTGTTGCATGTGAAGCAATCCGGTGTGGCAAACGACAGGCCTTGAAGCTGTTTAAAGTCCTGTCAGGAAGTGGATATTGACCTGGGCAGCTTTTACCACCACTGCAGTGGTTTCACATGGTTGCATTAGGTTGCAGTAATGCACAGTGCTGCATTATTATTTATTTATTTAAAAGGCTTCTATGCCGCCCCATTCGCCGAAGCCTCGGGGCGGCTCACAATAATAAATAAATAAGTTCAGTATAAAACAATATAATATGAGTCGACCTGGCCCGAAAAATAAAATAAATATTCTCAGTTTTCTCTGGCTACCTGTTATCTGTCCTTTTGGTGTCCCCAACACAAGGCATGCAGAACTTCAGGCATGGGGCCAGAGCCGGCTCTCTTGGGATCCCAGGCGGGACCTCCCAGGCGGCCACACTCCTCTCCCCCAGGCCAATCATTCTGTGGTTCACTTGCTTTTGTGTGTGTGTCCCCCCCTCCCCCTTTTAAAAAGGCTGAAGTGCCTCTCCCAAGGCTTGGTTACTGTGGCAGTGAGAGAGAGGCTAGCATCGTGGCCCGGCCTCTTTTGCCTCCCACCCCCATGCCGCTGGCCTGTGTCCCCTGAGAGTTTATCCAAAACAGAATTTAGTTCTTGGGATGAAAAAGGAGAGCAGCTGAAAACCTACTTTCAGAAAAGCCATTCTTGTTACTCAGCTATGAGAGGCTCAGGAGAACTGGCAGGAAATTCCTGGGGGCCAATACGTTTTCCTAGGTAGGTATCCTGGCAGGGATGCTAGTTTGGGGATGTAAGCAGCTTCCCTGCTTGAGAGTGAAGATCATCCCAGACCATGGGGAGAGATGCTTGCCATTCCCTCTTTGCTGTTCTCTTCGGCAGTGGAGCCTGGCTGCTGGCTGCCTCCCTTTCTTCCTGCTCTCGGGGAGCTGGCTCAGCCCTTTTCAGGGTGCTTGCGCAGCAGTAACTGTTCCAAGTGCGCCGAGGCCCCTGAAATAGACGGCCCCACTTGCCACTCCGCCACTTTTCCTGAGCAGTCTTGCAACAGGACTGCTTCTCTGGGAGGCAGCAACCTGTTCCAGAGCCAACATGTGTGCTGTGAGAGAACGGCTTGGGCAGCAAGGAAGAATTCTTGACGAATCTGGTTGTCATCTGCCTGTGTTCTGAGAAACCCAACTTGCATTCCAGAAGAAAATGTACTGATCTGGTCAGCTGATCCTTGTCTGTCTCTTCAGGCTCTGATTGAATCTACGGAAAAGCCTGGTGCACTGGCCCAGGAGCCAAATGTACGACTGATTGCACTTTATGACAACGAAGAGGTCAGTGTGAAGTGTTCCTAGATGGCAAGCTCCTTTCACAGTCGCATCTGGAGGGACACCATCCTGTTCTGACCTGGGCAGTGGTGTAGTGCAGCCAGGACTTGCAAAGTCGCCCTGCCAAGACTTTTTCAGTAGCAGGGATACTAATGTCACCTGCCTCCTCACCTTCCCCTTTTGTTCCTTTTGAAGTTAGCTGCAATTCACAAGGTAGCTGGTGGGGGGGGGGGTGTAGAGGGACACATTTTCCCAACAAACAATGTATCTGTTGTTTAGTGAGTGGCTTGATTTTGAACGGGTAGTTAAAACCCCTTAGCTTATCAAAAGACATGCATAGCAAATGAAAAGCTCCTAGAACTGGTTTGTTGACACTGGCCAACCAGCTCCCTGCAATTTTGGACTGTTCTTGGAAGCACTGCCATCAAGACTGTGCCTGAGCTTCCAAATTAATTACTGCCCCACTGGAATTGGGAGAATACACATAACTATTTAGAAAGTGGTTAAACTTGATAATGTGATGCAACCTTTCCCAACCTGATGCCTCCCCTTATATTGGCTACAACACTTTATTTGTTTTTATTTATTAAAAGCTTTTATATGCCGTCCTATTATATTAAAAATCTCAGGACACTTGCTATCTGGAGGTTTCTGGGAGTTGCAGCCTGATTCACCAGGAGGGAAGCAGCTTGGAGAAGGCTGGTTTAACAGAGGCTGAAAAAATGATTTTCGGAATAAGAACAGCATGGGGCCAGGCAGAAGGATCCAGCAGGTCCTTACTTCAGTGCAGAATGGAGAAATGGAATTCTGTTCTGATGGAAAAGGCTTAGATGGCTTCCTGACTGCCTTGCCCCTTCCCGGCAGGTTGGGTCAGAAAGTGCACAAGGGGCTGCATCCCTCCTGACAGAGCTGATCCTTCGGCGCATCTCGTCTTCGCCCCAAAACCTGACAGCATTTGAGGAAGCGGTACCAAAGTCCTGCATGATCAGCATGGACATGGCCCATGCGGTGCACCCCAACTACTCGTGAGTCTCTCGCACCCAGCATGAAGAAATGCACCAGGGCCCAGTATTTTTTGTCATTAAACACTGGGCAGTGTTGCATATACATACTGCATATGCTTGAACGTTGCCTTTCTGTAAAACGCAAGAAATTCTAGGCCTCGTGGCTGTATAAACTTAGTACGCTGTGCTCAGTCTTAATCCTACCCAGAACCAATCCATTGAAACGAGTGTGACTTAAGTTGGATGAACATTGATTACAACCTCACAGATAAATATTTCTGATGGAATAATAAAACTGTAGGACTCGGCTGGCAGCTGTCTGACCCAGCTTCACCATTTCTCGGACCTGAAAAGCCCAGGTGCTCTTTCGGGCCAGCTGGCCTGCAAATTACAAATCACCTGGCTGAGTCGGTCCTGCCTCCATCCCGTCCCCAAGATTATAGAGCAACAAGTAGACGACTCTTCAAGGCAGGGGAGTGGAGTTTCTGGGACCAAATAAATGTTCGGATGAGGTGGTAGCTTTTTCCGGCCCTTGGTGGCAAACCGCCCCTCTTCCCAAGCCGCCTCATGGCTGCAGAGAACAGTTTGGCATTTTGAGGATGGCGTATGGTGGTGGCCGGCAAGCAGAGGTGCTCTTCTGCCTGCAGGGAGGCGACACATCGCCCACATCCCGCATGCACTGTGTGCCCTCAGGCCTGCCATCGGTGCTGAGGCAGTCCAGTCGTCCTCATCGCCCTCACTGGGGGGCAGCACTAATAAAGCTCACCTCTCGTCGCTGAGCTGCTCCCCATCCCCCGCACACAGCCCCGCCACTCTGTGGAAGGAGGTCTGTGCCTACATGTGCGCGCAGCCACCCTCACGGGCGCCTCAAAAGTGCCGTTCCGCCACCCTCAGAGCTGCCTCTGACTGAGATCTCTCCCATGCCCTGAAATGACTCCCCCTTTCCCCCTTTTTACGTCCATTTTCTGGTCCCACCCATGCAATACGGATGCATGTTTTCACACAGGGTGGAGGCTGGGTGTTCTTTGCGGGTCTCACTGGCTGCTCCTTTTTGCAGGGACAAGCATGATAAAAACCACCGCCCAGAGTTCCACAAGGTAGGTGATGGGGGGCGCATGGCCACTGTGGCTCTCTGAAAACGGAGTCAGCTCTCGGCGGGCGGGATGCCGAGGGGCCTGGCAAGCAAGGGTCGAGGCCGGCAGGTGCAGAACCCACTCTTGAAATGAAGGTTATTGCACTGGGACTCCTTGCATGGCGCCGTAAGGCACACTGTGCAGAAAGCCACGCGGTGTGGCTTGTAAGCCGCCTTACCCTGATGCACCCAGCAGAGGGTCCTCCAGCCTCCTTGGTCCTTCCACAGATAACTTGAGGGACCCACAGGAGCAGCAAGGCTCCCCCATCCCGGAGCCTTCTTGCCAGTGGCACTGGTGAGGACAGGGCGGGGGACTGGCCATTGCTTCAGCCTCCTCACAAGTAGGTTGAGGAAATGTCCCCTGCCTGCCACTGTGCCCAGCTGAAAGGGGTGGCCGTGGCAGCAGGCACCTCTTACCCACTGGGGCTGCCAGCCCAAAACATCAGGCAGGGAGGCGACTGCTCTGTTGCCCATCCTGCCAGCTGCACTGGATGGGCAGCCAAGCTGCATTCCACTCAGCCTCTTCTAGAGGAGGCCAGTCAAGGCATGGCTCACCCTGTGCAGCTCAGGTGCTTCCGGCCAGCCGTCAGGAGCGCGTGCCCAGAGCCAGGTGCTGCTCTGCTCTGCTCTGCTCTGTCGGGCAGTGGCGCTGTCGGGGTTCTGGCCATCTCTGGGCTTACAGTGTTGTCCAGGTTCTGATGACACTTGAAGCCCAGAGTGACCTATAAACCCTACCACAAGTACTGTAGCTGGGCTTATCAACCATCCCAAATAAGCCGTGGTGTGTTCAGACAACACCCTAAACTACAGGACTTATAACCCCAGTCCTGGCTAGCCTCTGTTTCATTTTAGAACCAAGTGTGCGTTACCAGTTAGGTACAGTGGATTTGAGTAGATTCAGGAGAAGGGAGGTCTCATGGCATCCATCCCATGCAACACAGATTTGTGAGAGAACATTGTTCAAGAAACATTTCTGAAGGCTTTGCTTTTGCTCCAGTGGCCTAGATCTGGAGAAGTATGCCAAAGGTAATAATTTCATTTCTTGTTAACAGTAGGTTGCTTCCTTTTGAGCTTGAACAGGAAGAATGATCCTGTTTAATCACAGGGTGGGGAAGCAGCAGAAAAGAACTGGACGAAAGTGCACATGAGTGTACGCTTAATTGTCCTTGGACCCATTAAAGAAAATAGATCTGTCCCTTCCATAGATTGTGCAGTATTTGGATATTCTGTGCCACTGAATTGTGTTTGAATTTATTTGGGAGATGAGGCAGCAGGCATTGGTCCAGTCCTGAAGTGGTCCCTGAGCCAAAACGGAGGGACAAATGTCAGCAGCCAGAAGAAAGCCACCGGAAGGCAGAGTTCTGGCCCCACCGTGATCTGCCATGGGATCACGCAGCTCTTCCGTGGGTGGTACAGATGTCCAGGGCTAGGGTTGATTGGAGAGGACAGGCATGCTAGGGAAAGTTGAAGGCAGAAAAAAAGGAAGACCAAATCTGAGATGGGTTGACTTCATAAAGGGAGCCACAGTCTTAAATTGAGCACAGCTGAAACAGGGCTGTTATGGATAGACTTTTTGGAAGGCCTTCATTCATATGGTTGGCATAAATTAGGAGTGACTTGATGGCACATAACAGCAGCATCGTCCATTGTTGCAAGGCTCGTGTCTGTCTTCCAGTAGCTTTCTTTTGGCCCTCATGCATTCTTGCTCAGGTGTGGTTTGGGCTGTCGAGAGCAGAGCCTGCTTTTGGTGATGGATGGTCCAAATCCCCTGACGTTCTTCCTCTGTCTCTCCCCTGGGGCTCTTCTTCTGTTTCTCCTGCACAGGGGCCTACAATCAAAGTGAACAGCAACCAGCGGTATGCTTCTACGGCTGTCACTGAGGCACTGATCCGTGAGATTGGCAGTCGTGTGGGTGTCCCCCTGCAAGTAAGCATGGTTCTCAAAACCTGCCTCCTAAGGCATTTGTTTGCACTTTGAAGGCGGGTTTGTGCACTGATGGGACATTGCCTTTTCCAGCGTTTAGTCTCTTATTTCCAAAGACCTCCAGTGTTGTAGTTTTCTCCAGATCGTGCAAATGCCAGCCGGCTCTTGATCCCCCTTTCCCGCATGTCGATTGCAGGAGTTCATGGTTCGGAACGACTCTCCCTGTGGCACAACCATTGGGCCCATCCTGGCCTCCCGCCTTGGCATGCGTGTCCTGGATATGGGCTGCCCGCAGCTGGCCATGCACTCCATCCGGGAGATGTGCTGCACCTCGGGGGTCCTTCAGTCCATCACTCTTTTGAAGGTGGGTGGCAGCACTAGTGGTCCTGCCCAGGGCATGAGGTGATCTCACTTAGGTGGGGGGACAATATTTGCATGTATTTTTTATTTTGTGCTGCATTTATATCCTCCCTTTCTGCCACAGAGCTACCCTCACTTCCATTTTCTGCTCACAAGCATCCTCTGAGTGGCTGGATTAAGACTCTGCCGGGGACTGAGTCAGACCCTTAGTCCATCCAGCCCAGTACCAGTCCAGCATTTCAGGCAGGATTCCTTCCTAGCTCTGCCTGGAGCGGCTGCAGATCCACCCTGGGACCCTCCACATGCAGGGCTGGTGCGCTGCCGTGAAGCGGCGGCCTCTCCCCAAAGAGAGCGTTCGACATGTGGGGCAGATCCTCATTGCAGACAAGCTCTCTGTCCATAGAGCTGTGCTATGGAAGGAAGGGCTCGGGGTCACCAGTGTGTGTAAAGGGATGAGTCTTGTGGGAAAGTTCAGCCTGGTAGCGATCCGACGTGGGAGAGCAGCTCGGCAGGCGGGAGCAGCAGTTTCGTGCGTATTCAGGGCACAATTCCACTGGTCCTCTGGGCTGAGGTTAGGCCCTGCTGCCGCCCACTCTCCATCTCTCCCTTGTAATCTTGTCTGTATGTTACCATGGCAACGATGGTGGCCTTGAGTCAATGATTGGTTTCTATGGCAACATTGTGCCTCACGATTCTCTAGCTGCCATGGTGACGCCATCATATCTCTGTGCATTGACAGCTGCCCTGTTTCCCCCCCTGAGGGCAATTTTCACTATCCCCTCTGACCCCGAGTTCTCCCTTTTCTCCTTCTTAGGGCTTCTTTGAGTGGTTTCCCATGCTGGATCAGGAACTGATGAGCAACTGACAAGCACCTCAAATGCAGGAAGAGGCGTCTCTCCCCGACTCCCCATCACCTTCGTTAGGCTGGATAACAATTAAAATATTCACACATACCCTAGTGACCGCTGTGTTGTACAAGAGCTGCTGACTGACTGCTTCTTGACTGTTTTGCAGACTGTTTTGTTTCCAGCGGTGCTCCAGCCGGATGCAGTGGGCCTGCATATTGCAGGGATTCTGAGCCAGTACCATTGAATAGCTCGTTCTTGTACATTTGCCATGTACAGAAACTCAGATCAAGATAGTGAAGCTTAAAGGGGGACCCACAATCACATTAATGCAGCCTTCCCCAGCCTCATGCCCTCCAAAAGCCCTCCTCGGACCGTGACTTCCATCACTCTCAGCCAAGGTAGTGTGTTGGACTGTGTGGCTTGCCATTCCCTGCAGGCTGGGAATGATAGAATTGCTGTTGTAATGTTTCTGGAGAGCACCAGTCTCTTTAACAAGGTCCCTGAAATTGTAGATGATGCTTCCATGTTGGTAAATGCCAAATGATGCATACCTGAATTTCTGATCCCACTCCTACACCTTTTTTTTTTCACACTCTGAGTTGGGCTCTGAATTAGCTGCTACCCTGTGTGAAGTCATTCACTCAAAATGTCAGCACGTGACGTTGCTGTCCAAACAGCATACAAGGAGCACGTATGCAAGATTACTTCACAAAGAGCAAGTTTCTGCTTGTGCGCCTTCAGCACCATTTCTTCCCACATTCATGATAGTAGCAAGATGTCTTCCCCACACCCCCAGTGCCTGTTTTGATTCCAATAAGCTGCTTGTCCAAGAAAGCAGTGGTTCTCGTCTCAGCCACTGACTGAAAATATAGATTCTGGTCCAAAGATAAAATACACATATGCTTTAAGTAAAGCATGTGCACCCCGTCTTATTGGCAAGCTCCTTCTTTAATTTTATACATGATTTATTTAACATCTACAACTAAGCCTGTTCTGTTGGAACTGAACAAGATCACAGAATGGCTGTAGTACCACTCATGTCAGGCACACAGATGTTTTGGCTTACAACTCCCATCATCCCTTAACATTGGCTATGCAAGCAAGGACTGATTGGAGCTGTAGGACAAAACATCTGGAGGGCCACAAATTGCCCCTCTCTGTGCTGAGCCCTACAACTGGTTACTGGGGCAGGGGCAGAATACCCACCTGTCCATTCTTTGCCATCAACTGGAGCCCTTGTACGAGCATAGGCTGACTCTGCTGTGCTGTTTTAACCAAACATTGTCTCACTTTCTGAGTGAATTTAAACACTGGCTGCATCAGATCTTTGCCTTCCTTTTTAATTGTACACCTGGCTTCCTCCTTACATTTCTATTTTTTCGAAACTGAACAAGCATCAGGAAACGACCTTTCCTTTCTGTACTCCACCGAGTGGTGAAACTGATTAAGAGTTCTTGTTCTTCCAACTAAAGTCAAGCTGGAAGGAAACCAAAAAGAACGTCTTGTTCAGTGTTCCCCTTTTTGTTCTACTCCAGCTAAGAAAAGAGGTTTGTTTTAACTGTGAGAAGTGTGCTAGTTCTTTATAAAGGTAAGCATCATTGCAAAGAGTGAAATAGAAATAACTTTACTCCTGCATCATATAGAAGGGTAAAACACCAACTGATGTTAATTGTACCTCTTCTTCACAGCAGCTCCTCAGTTACTAAACTTACAAAAATCATTGTTGTGGAGAATGGCCAAGAGAGCTGCTAAAAAAACAGGCAAATTCATGCAAGATCCTAACAGTGGTTACGTGTAGAATCAAGGACTGTGTCCTTGGATTTAGGACACGGATGGGGAATGTTTGGAAGTCCATCATTTAGCATGCCCTACATAGTAATGAAAAGCAGAAGTAGCATTTGAAACCGAACATTAATGCTAAAGACTGGGTTGACACTTGGACTGTTTCTCTGCCAAGCATATAGCCCTTTTGGAGCGTGCACTGAGCCTTCTTCATGGTGTTACTAAAACTAATAAGGTAAAGGGGAGCAATGTGGGATAATTGAGCCACATGAGCGAACATGCTGCAATGTAATTATTTGGACAGAAATTGCCTTGCTCATTTCCCGCAGCACTTCACGGTGTGGCCATTATGTAAAGCCTTAACATTCAAAACATGGCAGGCTGTGTTGAGGAAGCTGGCTATGAAATGAGACCCACCAACTTCTATGGGACTTTAAACTGAAAGCTGTTAATTAGTTTGATCAGCTATCAATCGTCTGAGCAAAAATTGCTTGACACTGCACAGTTGACTAGAAGCCAGGGGGTGACTAGGTGTATGGGCATCATCTTGAGTGTATTGTAAAACAGTATTTCTGCTTCGCAATAATAGTGGTTTGTTTGCAAATGAAAATGGGGGTGGCAAACAATAACGTGTTTCCAAGAAAAATCGGAGGTGCCAGTGTCAGTGAGTGCTGCCCTGTGAGGAATGGTGTTAAAGCACACTAATAGGAACCAGGCTATTTAGCAAGCTTTCTTGGAAATGGCAGGTAGGTGAATGAAGGATGAGAGAATACAGTGTAGTGGGGTGTGTCCCTAAAACAGGTCCTTTGAGTTTTGGATTTAAGGTAGCATTTCTCAACCTGATGGCATCCGGAAGTGCCGGGGCTACAACTCCCTGCATCACTGTGGATGCTGGAAGTGTAGTCCCAACATGCCTGGAGGGCACCAAGTTAAGACAAGCAGTCCTGCAAGGACTCTCCCATGAACCCCAATTCTCTGTGTTAAAACCCCGTGTTTTAACCTTCCTCACTGTGCTACAAAGCAAATAAAGGAAGGGGCATAAAAGGCAGATGGCAGTTGACTTTGAGGTCTCAGCATCGAGAGGGCTGTGGATTTAAGATGGGCTGGTTTGGGGTTGGGAAGGTCATGCTGGAGGTTTCTGTGGACAGTGGCCAAAGCCCAGGACACAGATGTGATCAACAGCTTCTTTATGTTAAACGACTGGTGTGAGTCTAAAAAGCAGCGGCAAAAGGTGTGTGCCTGCCAGCTTACCATTGTGATCGTGCAAATGGTGGGAGGAGAAAGAGGCATGACATGGAATTGGGAATGCGGTTGACAGAATGTGAGGTGCGAGGGGGTGGGTCCTGCCGTGTCATGTTGGGGGCGTAACTTTTGAAGAAGGGTGTGGCTATGGGCGGGTTTGGTTGGCTTTTCGGGCGGAGGCGTGTCCTTTCTCTGCGTGGTGATAGGACAGATCGGCCCAGGCGGGCCGGGAGGGTGTTTTGCATGTTTATTGAGATTGGTTCGTTTGTGGGGTGGGGGCGCGAGTGCCAGTGCTGGTCTGGAGGGGGCGCTGATCTGCTAGCCTAGGGATGGTGCAGCCGTGGAGGCGGCGGCGGCGGCGGCGGCGGCTGCCCGGGCTGTGAGCTGGGGCACCAGCCGGTATGGGGCGGTGGCGGAGGCTGCTCCGGGCGCTTGGCTGTTTCCTCTTGCTGCTGCCGTTCTTGGGGGCCGGGGCTGCTACCGGGGATCGCCGGCTGCCAGTGCTACACGGTGAGAGCTGGGGATGAAGATGCGCGTAGGGAGGGAAGCGGGCAGGAACGAGGCTGCTAATGGGAGTAGGACCTTGGATGCTGGAAGGGAAAGACCTGGCTTGGGGTACTCGAAGAAGCTGGAGTGGGTGGCGTGTTCAGGGGGCCACGAGACAGCGGTGCGATTGCCCTGCCAGCAGCCCCGCTTTCTTTCTTCCTCCATCCCTCCCCTCTGGCAGAGACCGGGGATCTCTCCTTCGCTTCCATATGGCAGGATGTTGCTTCTCCGCCCGCACGCGCTGCACCTCCCATGGCCCTTGGCTTCCCTCCCATTCCCTTTGCAAAGTAAAGGTATACCTTCTTGGGCATCGGGAAAGGCTCTCTTTTAGCGCGCGGATGGGGATTGGCATGGAGTCCTAAATATGGTGGGGATTCGCGGGAGGGAGGAGGAAGGGTGGCGAAAAGGGGGAGGGACCGCTTCCAGCGTTATCCTTCTTGCAGGCTGCTTCATCGAGGCGGTGGCAAGCGGGGCTCCCCCGTTTTTCAGACCCTTAGAAGGTCCTTCATCAGTTCCCTTGAAAACATCAAGCATAATTTCTCCTTCCCCCACTGCTACCACAATGGGCTGAGCCCCACGCTGCCTACCGCACTTCCCAGTCCCCTTTGCCAGCTCATTATGCCCCTGAAGACTCCAGAATGATTGTATATTTTTCTCTGAACGAGGGGATCCCGGGTGGTGGGGCTGGTTCCTCCCTTTCCTCCTCCTCCTCCTCCTCCTCCTCCTCCTCCTCCTCCTCGTATTGCTGTATATGCATTTCTTCCCCATTTCTCTCTTGGGATGAGTCCCCTCCCCTTTTTCCTAGTGCGGACTCAGCCCCCGCCAAAGTGATGTTGTCACCATTTTGCGTGTCAGCCTGTCGTATGCGCGTCACAGCGTCGTCAGGCTTGGCTAGCTCCGTGTCTCCCCCACCCCCTTCCTCGCAATTCAGTTCAGGAGCAGATCCTCTTCCCCCCGCCCGTGTTTTCCTCCTCAATTCAGGCACTGACGTCATTTTCGCAGGGCCTTTCTCTTCATCCCCCTCCTTTTCTCCAGTCCGACCCAGCTGCCTGTTGCAAACATCAGCCGTACAGCCTAGGACCGTTGAGGGAGCTGGGATGCTGAGAGGGATCTCTGTTCCTTCTAGGAATTAGCAGAGTTTCCATCCCCATCCCCATCCCCACCCAGTCTCCATCTGTGTATCTGTAAAAGTGCTGAGGAAGCGTGGCTGTCTCTTGATTTTGCTGCTTCTGTGGTGGTTCCCTTTTCACAAAATGGATTCGTGGGTCACTTTTATGAGGTTGCAGCAGAAACTGGTGCAATGGCCCAGTGTCCCCTTTTGCCTGGCAGCTCTGAAATTTGTGCAAATCCGTATATGTGTGTGATTGACCAAAGAAGTTGGATGCATGAGATGCTGCTCAAAAACCACTATTCACACATGTAATTAACGTGCATGAGTGTTTTGTGGCTCTTTAAGGTCAGCCTTTCCCAATGTGGTACCCTCCAGGTGTGTTGGACTGCCATGGTCATCTGGAGGGCACCAGGTTGGGGAAGGC